TTTCAATTAGCGGCTACAATTATGTCCTCTGCAACAATGATATCAAGTTATTGTCGAGTGGTAAATTATTTTAATATTCCATATAGTAATTATCGCTATTTAAACTTCAATATTACCCATTTTTTATTTTATTTTATTTTACATATAGATACTACAGAGGAGTACTTTATTACGCTCTCTCGCACCCATCGTCAACGTGCGACGGTCGTGATTTACGATACGGTGTTATTATCCAATCGTGAATTTTAACGCGGTGCACGCGATTAAGCCACGCACTTTTTTGCAACAATTACGGCGTGTTTTGCTATTATTATTGTACGCTCCTAATTTGTTATATACGCCAGCAAATTTGCATCGCTCAATTTCTCGCGTTATTATTTTGAAGAGCGAAAAAGCGCGCGTTATTGTTGTTGTTAATTAATAACTTTTTTGTTCGACAGGCAAAAATATGTGATTTTTTTCTCACGAGTCATTTCGACACGATTACAAGTCGTACAGAAATCGTTTAGAAATTTTTCATGAAATTAGTTTCGAGAGAAGCAAATTGAATAGTAATTTGCCTTAAGCAAAACGCAAGAAGCACTCACCTGTATGTCGAATATTGTGAGCGTCATGTGCGTTTTGTAGGAAGGTCGATCGGGTGACGACGTAGCCTTGTATTTACTGCTCTCGTGAATCATTAGGCCGTCCTCCCTCGCCCAGTAATTCAAAGAAGTCGGATGAGCTTCGGTATAGCATTCCAGCGTAACGGAGTAACCCAAGGGTGCGCCGACCAATTGGTGCGGTATCCAAAGCATAGGGGGGACTGCAACAGCAGAAGTGATTGATTGGCTCATAAATGTTCCAATTACTAACAATACACGATGGGCCTACGATCGATATCCCTTCCGCGCGTCTATAAATCTCAAGCCCGACTCCGCGCTTGGCTGCGAGCGCCCGCGCGCCGCCAGCCAGCGTGAAGAATGAATCGAGACAATCGCGAATTTTTTCGCTCGATTTTACAACACAATTGGCTAAATTATATCGGAGTGAAACCCAAGTCATACGACTTTGTCAGTCCTCAATTAAAACTGGTTAATAAATATATTAATTAGTAGACTCTAATAACGTTAAACTTTGTTTAAATTAATATACATAGAATACTTGTGAAAGTTGCGGTATAGAATCGCTGATTCACTAATCATATAAAAAAGAATCAGAACGTAGATATTAGCGCGTAAATATTTATATCAACTAAAATGCGATTAGCTGTATCAAAAAAGATCCAAAACGGATTGAAGCGTTTGGCGTTTTTGCGATCGTTATCTCTTCAATCACTATAGAAGCAAAACGAATTGAAGCGCTTGAGAATGATTGCGGAAGCGATTTCAGATGCATCAACATTTGCGCTCTGGTTCTTTTTTCTAAATATCTTTAACATCGTTTATATCATATAAACCCAATTAAAAAAATCTTTTTGTACATAAAATAAATCTTGACTTTTTTTTCCATAAATCGATTTGGTGCGGTATTTTCTAAAGTTTTACATAATCGCAACACGGAAAAGGTTGGGCTTAATTTTTGCTATACGCCGTGAAACCTAAATGCGTATCACGCGGCCCTTTAATAAAAAAGTAATCCCATTTCGATGAACAGCCCCTGGCGTTGTTGTCGGCGCCGGTGATAACATTTTCTCGAGGTAAGAGCGCTTCAATTTAACTTAAACCTCCTAAGAATATACCTAACCCATCTTCCCGTAGTGTCGCAATGTTCGCGAGAAAAATATCACGCAAAATAAGCCTGATACAAATGGCTAGCTATTACAAAGAGCCAAAATATAAACAAGAATAAATGGGTACATTTCTTATATATTTTCAAAAAAATCAAGATATATTATTCTTAAAAAAATAGAGATCGATAAAGAATATAGTATCGTACAGGAAAGATTTGATAGAACAGTGCAAAAACATGCGAAAATATCACGTAGATGATTTCGAAGTTTAAATAATGTCAGCCATCCCTGAATGGTTTTCGGATAGGAAGGGTAACTCTATAAATTTCACAGAGAATTAAATGCTCTCTTGTCTCTGTACTATTGCCAAAAATAGTTGAAACCCCATTTTACAGAATGAAAGACTTGTGTGCGATGGATGGGCATCGTAAATTTCACAGCTAAACTGTAATTTCGGGATTACACGGCATAATTATCGGCGAGCTAAAATATCCGTTCATCTTTCCTTACATACATCTGTCTCTCGAGGTACTTTTTTGGCGCGGTCGCAAATCTTTCGGGTAATTCTTTGGAATAAGTGCTGTCTTGGCATTTTTTTCTCAAACTTAGCAATTTCGAGTAAATTACACGGTAGAATCTATAATTCATCGTATAAATTAACGATTTAATATATATATATATATATCCATTTAATTATTCAATAAAAGTGAACCGTTGAAAAACGGCTTGAAAAATGTATCTTACGAAGAAGGAAGTACCGTTTTTTTAAGACGGTTTTCAGGGAAGAGAGAAAAACAGAGTTTGTCGACTCTTGGATACCGGAACGATTGAGTTTGCTCTCGTTTCATCTGGGATCTCCTTTAAGCAAGAGTCTCGGTAAACGACGACTCGATTAAATGCGATTGTCCTTCGAGTCCTCTAGAAAATGACCACACAAGAGCCCGACCAATCCGTTTCCCGGCGATTATTTTTCGACTCCTTCATTTATTCGTTGCGGATCTTCCGAATTTTCATCGCCTTCAACATTTATCAATTATTTATCAATTTTCCTCAGCGGAGATGTCAAGAAAGTCCTTTAGCCTTTATCTTTTTAAATATTCTAGAAATATTAAAATGTACATTAATGTTAAAATTGTCTAGCGCATCAAAATATTCAACATCATAAAACAACGAATTACAAATCACATTACATATATTTAAAAATAACTGTCAGATTTCAAAGAATCAAATTTTCTATTAACTTTTTAACAACTATTGTTTTGGAAACGATCGATAGGAACGTTAAACGTGCAGGTTTATATATAAAAACACTTTAAACAAAATTAATTGGAAAAAAGCGACGACTTTTTATAATTTAGTAAACAAGCCTCAAGAGGAAAAAGTTAATCCAGCGTGAATTTTTCCATAAAGTTTATTTTCGACCGTAAAATATATAAAATGTTAATATTATGTAAGATCATAAGAATTTAACGCGGTTATAATTCGGGGTGAGTAAAAGTAACGCGCATTTAAAATAAATGTTAAACGAAACTCTACTGCTAAACACCGCTCGCATGGATTCTTCGCTCGTTCACTGTAATGCGACCCCGCCAGCATCGGTCGTGGGGGTGTTCTTTTTGGCACGTAATACAGGACCGTGAATTACTACGGATTTCAAGGGAGGGTTCGCTCTTGTGCCTCTTGTGTCTCTCTCTCCACCCGTTTTCCCTTCTTTCCCCATTGCTCTTGCTCCTCGACGGGCGACGGGCGACGGGGGAGGCCTGTCTTCGGATAACGCAAAGGATATCCGACACCTTCTTAAAATGCAAAACATTCCGTCTGATGGTGAGAAGGGACGGGACCGACCTAGGTTGTCTGTAATGCTTCGGATCCTTATTGCACAGACAAGCTCAGGCTTTGCTATACGGAAGCTGCCGACCGGGGGGCTGGGCGTTGGACGTCTTTCGCGCGTTTTTTTTCCTCCTTTTTCAAATTGTCGGTTACGCGCGATGTCAAATTCGATCGATAGAAGTGAAGTGCTTTTAGCATAAGACAGCTCTTCGCGCTCTCAGCGCGCATTGAGCTTTATTACGCGATAATGACGGTATCGTGAACGTATTCGGAATCTCCTCGCATTTTCCTTCATGTTTGTGTCCTTTAGTTAGATTAATTCCTAATTAAATGCCATGATTTTCTTTCTCAAAGTTTAAAGTTATTAGAAATCTTAACCCTTTTCTTCATTTAATTTGAAATAACACTTATTTCAACGTAATTTTAATCAGCATGACAAACACAAAAGTTTGTAAAATACACAAAATAATCTTATTACATGAAAGCGCTGAATAATTTCGCTCACTGCCACAGATTCAAAAAGTAATTTCTGCAAAATTTCGCTTCACCAATCCGCAGTATGTGTGTAACAACGTAACAATGCCTGCGGCGGGAAATTTTTGTAAGGTAATAGATATTTCACCGAGCAAAGTGATCCGCGGCGAACGGTGAAGGGTTTAAACATTAGCACGGGCCACTGCGAAATGTAAACGACGTTGAGTTAGATTGCGGAGAACAATGTGTGGAACGGCCCGCAAGGTAGATGAAAGCTAATTCAGGTGGAAGTTAAACAGAGTTAAAGGTACGTCCTTTAGGTGCGCAGGGTAGAGTAGGTGGGTGAGAACGTAGACCAGAGGATAGGTTGGGATGGGTTAGGTTACGAGAGCTCGGCCTTACATTCATCACAGAGGCCTTGAAGCTTTCTGGATCGGTATGCCCTTTAATAAAGAATGGCTGGACGCGGGCTTATTCAGGCAATATATGCAGCGTATGAAATTTTGCCTCGATGTTTCCGCTCGAATCGCTATGCGTTACCTTCCCGTCAAATTACCCACGATGAGGAGAAAAAAAAATGAAAATAAATGCGCATATTGATCAATTAGGAAAACTTTTCTCTAATCCGAGAGAGAAATTAAAATTTAAATTAAAAGGAATGCGAACGAAAATTAAATTAAAGGGAAATAAATATGGGCGTATTACAAAAATGTTCCATATTTATTTTCTGTTATACAGCGTGTTTTATGAAAAAAACTATTATTAACTTTTGTAATTCCATAGAAAAATTATCGACGTGTAAATTTAAAAAAAAAAAAAAAACACGTTTTAATTTTCCAGTTTTTAACAACAATTTTTTCGAAAATAAAACGATGATATACATGATAATTAATTCAACTTATTATTTTGTTCAAGTATTACTCATTACTACTATTTCTTACTGCTTCGTTTGCGTAGAATCGTGAAAAAATCCTCTTTCATTTACCAGCAGTTACGGAACATTTCATATATAAAACTGTGATAAAAATATGAATTCAATTCATGACAGATTCCGGATCAATGCTTTCGAATTAAAGGGCAATAACCGGTTTGCAAAATATTACTAAGCGATAATACCACTCAAAATTTAAATACATTAAACGTGATTGAAGCTGTAAAGCGATTGGAAACTGTAAATTATCGGTATGCATCCTTCATTGGCAAAATATTCCCAAGTTTTCCTCTTTTCTTTTTTTTTAACTTCAGTATTTTTAGGAATTTCAAACTTCAACAGTATGCAATAAGAACAGTGCTAAGTGGAATGCTAATATAGAAACACGCCCAAGACGTTGGCGAAATTGTGCTGGATCATAGGATTATTTGCTCGATCAGATTATCGGAACCAAACGCAATGCGCATAACGTTTAATGGTGGGGAACCTGGCTGCGATAAGCAAGCAGCTGTTTCAGAACCGCGATAAGAACATTATCATTGACCTTGCCCTTCCTTAATGCTTCCGCATCGTCAATCTTGAGGCTCCCCTGACCTCATTCTATATCGTGTAGAACAACAGTGGTTTCCTTAGGGCATAATCGCCTCTAATCGTTTCCTGTGTAATCATTTATCTTAATTTATAAATACCTTTTGCCCGTATTATGCGTTAAATACATTTATAAATTAGATTTTGCGATTTTAGATTTTAGTATCGCGTAATTATTCTTGTATTTCTATTTCTCGAATATACTCATTAAGAATTACTGACTCTTGAGTTTATTCGTTATTGAACTGTGTACAAATTTTTGTTCATTCTA